TCATGGGCTTCTGCCAGTCCAATGGCACTATCGAAAGTTTGTGCTATCTCTTTACTCGGGATTTCCAAGTGAGTTTCCATCTCTTCAGTTTCTTAGCCTTTTACACCCGGTGGTTTTATCGTGGGTTTGCCCGAAGCCTTATATGACACTGGTTTTACATTCCTCTATATACATGTACTGTGTAACATTACACTTAGCATAGATGCCCCGAGCTCCCAATGTCAGGTGGGACCTGACTTGGTGTACTTAAGATTACAGATGCCCAAAACCCAACCGATCAGCAAGAGACAGTTACCGTAACACAGGTATAATTTCCAAAATTCATTATCTGTGGGAATTGAACCTTAGACCTGCCACTTGAGGGTTGACAACCTATCCACTTCACTAGGTCGCCACACTTCTAAAATTTTATCTTTGTATAATAACTATTATTTAAATATTTTATATTAAATTTTTTTTAAATTAAATATTAGAAACTAATAACAGATATAATAATTTTTTATATAAATTTTAGATTTAATTATTTTTAGTTATATGTAAAAATTTTTTAGATTTATAAAAGTTTGCTTTATATAAGCTAGTATTTTTTTATATACAAAATATTGTTTTATTTAATCTATTGTTAACAATTTAATAAAATAATTAAATAAACAAATTATACAAAAAATTTAGAATAAATTTTTATAAAAAATTTAATTAAAATTAATTTAAATATTCTAATTACAAATTCTTAAAATTATATATTTAAATTTTTTATTTAAATTTTTAATAATAATTATATTAATTATTATTATTTTTTTAACTAAGTTTAAAGATTATAAAAAAAGAGTGTGATGACTTAGTAAAGTGGATAAGTTGGAAGTTTAAAACTTACCAATAGTGAAAATTTGAAAAACTACCTATGTTATATTAGTATTATAAAAGGTAAGCAATATTATAGCAATGGCATTCCATTAATTAGTTGGGATCAGATACTTGTAACATAGTCATATTAGTATAACTGACAGATTATAGGGCATCTGTGCAATGTTAAAGTTATACAAAGGAATACAAATTGGCATCAAGTAGTACAAACTTAAGATAAGTTCTTATAGCTGTGTAAATTTATAAACTGAAAAAAACTGAAGCCCACTTGGGAAGACCCGAGTAGAGAGGTAACATAGATCTTCAACAGTACTATTGTAAAAGCTAGACCTAGAAAACAGATATCAATATAGAAGAAATTAGGCAGACAAGAATTTTAGATAAGAGATATTACCAACCAGACTATCAGAAATCTCAAACCAGAAGAAAACAACCTTGGAAAGCAGACTCTGAAATACCAGAAACAGGTTATAGTTCTTTCAAACTATCTAAATTGGAAGTCTAAGATCAGAAGCAGAAGTATACTATAAGTACTAAGGATATGCTATAAAGTTAGTATTGTAATAAAATTTACTAAAAACTATTAAGCTGTAGCAAATTTTAAAGTAATAAGTGTCAAATAAAAGATCTTTTTATTTAAAGGAATAAAAAAAGAAAAGAAGAAATATAAAAATAAATAAATAATAACTAATTAAAAATGGAATTTAAATTCAATAGCCTTCTAAATATTATAAAGAGCTTTACGATAGGCTGGTTGTAAGGAAAATTTGACCTATTGTTCTTTTTGTATTGGCCAGGCTTAACAAATAGTTTATCTTTTATAAGAATTACTTGTACTAGACTTAGAAGTATCCTAAGACACTAGAAGAGGTGATTAGCAACAGATAATCAGGCTGTTCTAAGCTATATATGACTTCTTAAATTTCAATAATATAAAGCTAGTATCTGCCAAAATACTATTCACAAATACAGCTATTACTTTATATTATTACAAGAAAGAAAAATAAAATATTCAATAATATAAAGCTAGTATTTGCCAAATAACTAATTAAGAAAACCAGCTATTTACTTTATATTATTATAAGAAAAAGAAAGAAAATTAAATAAAGAAAGATAATTTATAGAAGCAATAAGATAAAGAAATAAATAAAGACTAGTTTTATAAATAATAATAGATAAAATAATATTTTATTAAAGTAGTGTTTGGAACCGGTTTTATTTTTATTAATCAGTTTTAATACCTTTTTAAAAATCAAAACCGAATATAAACCAGTTATATTAAATCTGGTTAAATCCAGTTAATCGGTTATATTTAATCGATTAAATCTGATTAATCGGTTATATTTAATCGATTAAATCTGATTAATTAGTTATATTTAATTGATTAAATCCAATTAATCGGTTATATTTAATCGATTAAATCCGATTAATCAGTTATATTTAATCGATTAAATCTGATTAATCAGTTATATTTAATCAATTAATTAGATTAATCAGATTAATCGATTATATCAATTAGTTATATTACCATTACAAGTGTTTTTAAAAAATTGACCGAATGATTGTTTGGCCAGTTCGATAAGTTTTGATTTGGTGGTTATAAACATCTTAGTCTCAATTCAATCACATTTTTCAGAAATTTGCAGGTAAAAAATAAAAATAAGAAAATAGCTATTAATCATCACGAAATAGAGATATATATGAATAAGTTATATAATAAATAGATATATTAATTTTCTGGCTTCAAGATATTTTTTGCTATTAGTAGATAGAAGATCATTCTCTCTGAAATACATAAGACATTCCCAAATCCGGTTCATCCTCTCACTAGGAGTTTCATCAGTATGAACTTGAGGCATCTTTATATATTCATCTCACCTCTCAGATCCTGATTATTCATAATAAGTGAATACTCATTCACTTCCAATTCTATTTTGATAACAATTATTGACTTCATATGTTCCATCAATATTTCTCTCTGCGATTGAGGTTAGAGAGGATGTGAAAAAAATAAAGTAAATAAAATCTCGTCAAATACTGACTTGAAATATTCTATGAACATTGCCCATATCAGCTGAATTACATTAAAAGGCATTCCAATATATAGGGTTCTTACCTGAAGATTAGGGTTCTGCAAGTACTGGGCATATATTATTAAAAATGGTGCTCGGGTCTGTGCCTGGCACTATGTTTTAATAGTGCTCATGTCTGGCACTTGCAGAACTCTACTGAAAATATTTCAAAGTCATTCCACTCATGCCAATTATTATAGTTGATTAGAAACGAAATAAATGCAAGACATAAGTTATGAAAAATCATATCGATATACAATTTACACAATATACAAGCATATACACAAGTCCGAAATGTAAGCAAAACTTTATTATTTTTTATTTATTTTTTATATTTTGCTGGAAATCCTTGCATTGCTGGCTCCAAATCTTTAATGAGAATGTATATTAGCTTTGCCTATTTTGACAGATATGAATGTATTTTATTATGAATTCTACGGAACCATTGCACTTACCAATATGACTCTGCCGATTATTTTTTAATTTTATTCGAGAGCCTAATTTAGAGGGAAGATATTTTGGCACTTGTTCATCTTCATTATCATCCTCATTGCTATTCCTATCCGACTCGCTATTGGCAAAAAGAGAACCAAACATTCACTTTTGTTAGATGACAGTGTTATATATATAAAAGACGATACTATGTCGATTTCTAGCAATAATCGGGAGATTCCTGTGAATTAAGATATTAGAACGAAAAGCAACCCTATAACCTTGCTTGGCATGAACAACCAACCCTAGTTCAGGAAATGTTAATTCCTCACCTTCAAATTCACCGAGAAGGTAAACCACACATAGTGTATTGCGATAATCTTTCAAATCTCTATGGAACTGGAAGATGGCATTAAAGTTGATAGCAACTGTGGGAAAAGCTCCAAAAGATTTTGAAACATTGGGCCCAAGATTGAGCTTCTCCATCTTAGCATATAAGGTTGGATAAGTGTTATAAATATAGTTGTTGACCATATTAAAAAGCAGTTGTAGACCCTTGATTAGCTCATGGACATACCCTATGTGTTCCAGGCAATGGCTAGAGGCAGTATTAGCCATAGTATAGAGTTCAATATTGCTATCAGTAAAACTGCCAAAATATTCTATTAGGTGCTTAGAGAACTGCTTAGATTAGTGGGAGGAGTGGGCGAGAGTGTGAGTGTAATATTGATCCACTATCTTTAAAGACTTTTTTACAACTATAAGATCAGAGAGACTAAAAAAATCGACCATAGTCTCTCCAAGTGCATTTTTAAAACATTGTGGTTTGAAGATGTAGTAATAACCTTTAAAATTGATTTTATACATAACTCTCTTCGTCATATCCTCTGCGATATTAAGTTTATCCTGCGGGTTTTGTTGCAATATTTCATGAATATTATGTTCAAGGGTTTTACTTTGATCTTTTGCACTTAGGTATGCATGCTCAATTTTATACCATAAACGATGGCAATGGTTGCGAAACTTTTTTTTGAAGTTGGGTCCTATAAAAAAATGCACCCAATGCGCAAATTCTCCCCACCTATCTACTTCTAAATCAAGTGTATTTTTTTATTATTACTATCTAGACTAAAAATGTTAGATTCTAATATATATATAAAATCTGAAGGAATTTTTTAGAAAGGTAAGAATTCATTACTATCATTGTTTTTGTATAATTCACTATGACTCGCATTCAAAAGCATATCTAACTGAGAGTTAGAAAGAGTACTAAGTTTAAGGGTATAAGTATCAAGCTTTACCATATTCAGAGGAAATAACTTACTATCAATCAACTTTTTAACAATCTGGCATTGCGTCCTCTTCTCTAGAAACTTTTCTATAAATGTAAATTGAGGGTTATAACATTAGTCATTTGAGATTTATTAATTGATTTAAGATCTTCAGCCAAAAAATCTTCAGATACCCAAAAGGAGCGTATATATTCCTGTGATTGATCCTTTGTAGACAGACACATCTCACCTTGGGTTTTATGCTAAATTATAAAAGATTGTTAATCTGAGTTCATATTTTCGATTAATCTAAATCAAAATTTTCTAGTGGATACAATCATTCTTCGCAATGTAGCTCAGTGTTTTAAACTGCGGTAAGTCTTCGTGACCTTCCTCTCCTTGCATACACTTGCTTAGAAAGATAATGATCACGCCCAAGAAAAATTGAATTAAAATAAAGTAGAGCTTTATAAAAGAGGGTTCAATTGGCTCCTAGACCTGCCTTGAAAGGCGATGACTGTTCTTATTCTTCAAGCCGAACTTTATTTATTGCTATACTACTAAAAATAATATTCCCAACTACATGTTATAACTTACTTTTTGGAGGTTATAAAATATTTCTTTTTGTTTGTCACTATCATTGCCTTCACTATCGTTATTATTGCTATAATTGTTGGTGCTGGGAGTGGTTTTATTATTCATTGACAGGTTGGTCTGTTTTCCAAGCTTCACCTTCTTAGTTCATCGTAACTTCTTACACAAATTTTGTTTCAAGGCCTTCGAATTAGTGGGGCCAAACACTTGCATATTTTTTTATTACTAATAGGCAGGGTTAAAAGCGATACAAATCAACGAGCCGTTAGAGTCAAAATAACCTCAGAGCTGATGTCCTGCTCAAGAAGATTTAGTAAACACTTTTGCAATTGATTATGAAGCCTCAAAGTAGGCGACCACAATATTTTTTTAAATAAGCGTTTATAGAAGATTCAAGTGATTTGGGTGGGTACATATAAAAAAGCAGATATAGCGCCATTTTACCTTTTGCTTAAGCCGGCATATGCCAAGTCTATAACAAATATAGAGATATTTCGTTACACCTTTACTATTAGACATTTGGCGATAGAATTCATTTGGGGTCTGTGCCTTGAAAATAATGTTGTGAAACATAGTAATTACTATGTTCCATAACGTCATTTTCAAGGCACAGACCTAGATATGTGAACCGAACATTGAACAGATAATATAAATAATTTATAGGTTACTTTAAACCGATAAATATCTATAGATTCTGTAAATTATTTATATTATTTAAAATTTATGGGTCGCATCACTATATCTAGATACAATAATGTTATTGTGTTAAAATATTATAATACTGCAATAAGATAGAACAGCCTCTTGTTTGGTGTTGTTATAAAGTAATTTTAGAAATAGGATACTACATAGTAAAAAGAAGGCCAGTATATTATTATTCACTTTCATTTATTAAATTATTAAAATAATCTTGAAAAGGGTTCTTTAAATTTTAAACTGTTCTCAGGAATTGATTTTGTCAACCAATTAAATAAAGCATTTTTTATCGATATAAATTAAATATTAGTAAAAGATAATATTTATGTTTATGCATTGCCAAATGAAAACAAAAAGTTTAAGCCTTTATTTGATATTAGACAAATCTGATTCAATTATATTTAAGTTTTATTAAAAGCATTACCAGGAACGGAGTGATGAAATCACGAAGTGTATGGCTTATATAGTGTTTTAATGGAATCTGTCCATGAAATCTTAAGTTTGATTGGTTCGCATGATTTATTCATTAAATTTTGGTTATTTTGCATATATGAATAGTTGCGATAACTAACGATAGTACAAAAATACAATACTATAAATAGAACATATAAATATTAAGATATATAATAAACATATATTATAAAATTCTGAATAAGCACTTACGGTTAGATGGATGACTTGCATATTTTTTTATATAAAAAAACTGATTTTTATATATAAAAAAATTGCATGAATCACCCATCTACTTATGGTGGTAAATAAGCACCTCTACAATAATGTTCTATACATAAGTGTCACGTAGTTGCAGAAATGCCCCTATACCTGGTATGGGGAATGTTGTGTGAGGATGGTATCTTATATAAATGAGAATAAATAAAAGAACAGATTAGTAGAGTGAAAGGTAATGGTAAGGTACATAAATGTGAAACAAACATCTCACGTGAAGCATGTAGTATCATCGGAGAGATTAATTGCATCCAGTTGGCATAATTGTATTGGTGTATAATGATGAGATAGTTAATGCAAAATTGATTATTAATAATATTAATGACAAAGTCAAATATAGTATAAGAAAGTTTAATGGATGAATGCCATAAATGATATAATTGAATTAATTGAATGTAATATAAAGGGTAGGGTCAAAGAAAGTAAATAAAGAAAATTAGTCTTTTGCTCATAGAAAAAATCATAAAAAATAAAATACTTACACATCTAATGAAAGCACAAGTCTTGGGGTATATTCTATTATAGCGAAGGTGTTTTATTGAGTTATACTTGTAGTAACAACCTGCTATTACTCTACTTCGCAACAATAAGCACAGTCAAATAAACTTTAAATTAATTATGTTTTCTATGATTGCAATCGTGGAACATGTTAACAATTTTCAAATAACTAATGAATAAGCACCTTCATTAATTAAAAAAATAGTGCTTATTTTCCGAGTTTACAGTATATATTATGCAACTATATACAAAAATATGAATATATATATATATTCTAATAACGAGGTTTAAATTAGGCAAGTATAATTAATAGTAATGTGCCTAATAAGTTTAAAGTAGAAACTAGTTATAAGGTTAAATAATTATATGTCAAGAAACATCTTGAGATTTGGTTTATATGAATTTGAAATAATCGTAATATACAGTCAATTTTAAGCAGTCTTCCTGTTTAAGGTAAGAAAACTAGTATCAATGTTTATTATTAGAAAAGCAAATTATAATCACCAAGGGTACCAAAAAATTAAATTTTATTACAATTATCTTATTACAATTATATAATTGTTACACAAAAAATAATTAAACTGCAATTAATTAACTAATTGTGGCTGTGCCACTAATCAATTAATTGAATTCTAAATAATTGCAATTAATTGCCTTCCCAATTAATTATTCAGTAGGCCTGGTAATCACCAAGAAATTTATCAGTGTCCTTAATGATCAACTTATTTAAAATTTTAAAATTTAAAATCAAAAAAAGTTAATTTCAGAGAATTTAAAATTGAAAATTTAAAGTGAAAAAAAAATTTAAAAATTTAAAAATAAAAAAAAAAAATAAATAATTGAAAAATTAAAAGAAAAATTGAACCTTCAAATTGAATAAATAAGCTAACAGCTATTAAAAAACTGTTATTCTTGTGGTAAAAATATATCAAAATGAACTCTATTGCATTTCAAAAACAAAACCTTATTCACTAAATCTGGTGACAAATGAGTTCGTTTTGCTGAGATATGGTTGCTGGCATCAGAAAACAATCTTTCGCTCGGCACGGAAGTTGCCAGAATAGAAAGATATTTGTGAGCCAATTGGGCTAAAACAGGCAAGCTACTTCTATTTTTTAACCACCATTCTAGAAAATCATCAATAAGTTTGATTTCTTTTAACTTTACATAGCACGTTACTTCATCATCATCTTCTATATCAACTTGTGTAGAATTTGATTCTAATTCATAAAAAAAATCAACATTGTCATCATTATAATTACTTTCCACCAAATTCTCTTCATTGTCATCTGGAATAGTAAGGTTTATTTTTAATTTATTATACAGGGTCTTTACCAAATCCTGTGCTCTATTTCGCTCAACACTTGTTGCCCAATTGAAATGTTTGAACCTTGGATCAAGGAACATAGCAACTAAAGCAATATTCGTTGGAACTGCCCATAATTCATCTAATGAAAGATAAATAGCAGCTTGAACTTTACAAAGTAAACCATCAGTAGCAACAGAAGGCAAATATTCTATCTAATCAGTATCTTCTAACTCAGCATTAGCAGAACATCTTTGTGTTCTTATATTTTGACTTCGACTTTGACCACGAGAGGCCATCCTTTGGCTAAACTGCCTGTGTGCATATTGCCATTGTTTATGAATGCCAGCAGTAGGAATATCATTATCAGATTCATCACTTTCATTCTCTTCACTTTCAACTTCTCTATAAATCAAATTCAAATAGGTATCAACTGTTTCATCTGTCTTTGGAGCAAACCTTTTTTTGAGTAATTCCATATACAGATAAACAAGATTAATAGTCAGATATTTAGCACCACATAAGCGTCAGGTTACTCTTTTAATCGGTTCTAGTAAATTCACCACATCCTTTAAAAATCTATATAAAAAAAAAAATTTTTTTAACCTTTTACTAAAAAAAAATAAAATTAAAAGTCTCTATTTTAAATATTTTACTTCAGAGTATGGGGCTTATTTGACTCTGAATATTGTGGTTATGTTTAGGGTTCTGCAGGTGCCAGGTACGGGCACTATTAAAACATAGTGCCAGGCATGGACACAGGCATCGTTTTTAATAGTACATGCTTGGCACTTGCAGAATCCTGATTATGTTATATTGTTATTATAGATAAGATTTATTATTGTTATAAATAAATTTTACAGAAACAAATAAGCCCATACTCTATAGATAAAAAAAGCAAGTTAACATAAATAAAAAATTTAAAATTTGGAAGTTTCAAAAGCTTAGACAAAATAAGAAAAAATAATTCGAATTTTAAAGAGCAATATTTATAATTAATATTACAAAACTAAATAAATTTATAATTACTCTTTTTCACTAACTGATAAGCACAATTTTTCTAGTTTTTCACCTTCTTTTTGCAAAGCATGATCTGATTTAGAAAGTAACGAAGTTGAAACAAATTGCATTGCATTATGCAACTCCAAGACATGTTTCCAAGCCAAATAAGTAGAATTCCATCTTGTTTTTATATCAGTTATAATATCAAGTGGACTTTCAATAATATTTTGATCCTTATTGTATATACTAAATTCATATTGTGCTTTACTTAAATGTTGTGCATGTTTAGGGAGTCAAAAAAAAGTCTGTAAACTTTTAATATGATGATGAATAGCTTTACACTGTTTTAGTTCTTGTTTTACTGATAACTGCAATGTATGTGCAGCACAAGGCTGACACTCCACATCATTAATAATTTCATGCAATAACTTTATCCTTTTAACCATATTAGTCCTGTTATCCGTAGCTACAGTAAAGACCATCGAATCAAGATGCTATTTATGAATTAATCGAATTAATTCCTCACAAATTACATCTCCAGAATGTGGATATTCAAGGTGGTCACAAGAAATTAGGGCCTCTCTGAACTTAAACTCAGAAGATAACCAAGTTGTAGTAACACCTAAATAGCCATGACAAGATTTTGCTGTCCACAGATCAGTAGACAAATGAATGGCTGTTGCATTACTACTAATTAGAGACTTTAGTTGATCATTACTCTAATTATATGCTTCATGAATCAATTCTTTAGCTGTTTTATCACACAGCACTCAGAATCTGGGTTTACAGGCATAAACAAATTCGCAAAAAGATTGATCTTACAAGATATAAAGAGGTTGAATGAACCGAATAATAAATTGGATTAATTTCCTCACGATTAGTTGTTGCCTTTGCGGTAAACATGGTGATGCTGTGTTATTGTAATAGTCAGTAACTTTGGATTGATCACTTTTTGGCTAAAAATAATCTAAAGTTAATTATCTTAATTGTTTTTAATACATTACTAATAAACTTAAAAATTTTACCATGTTGAATGGCATAATTGAATGCTACTCAAACTGCTATTCAAACTACCATTCAACACTATCACATGATTTTACGACATGTATATTTGCGAAATCATGTAATACTGTAATAATGTTGAACAGCAGTTTGAATGACAATTTGAGTAGCATCCAAATTATGCCATTCAACATGACAAAATTTCAAAATATTGTATATACTTCGTTGTGTTCATCCAAGTGATCAGTATAGTTATCTTTGGTTATATTGTGCTTGTCACGTAAATGGGCAATCATATTCGATGTGTTACTACCTTTACGAGTATATGGATAGGGAGTTTGCCAAGAGCCAGCAAAGTTACACATATATATTTTACAGTGTGCAAGTTCAGCATTGTCTTTATCTATACTAAAAAAAAAACTGGTATGGCTTTTATTACTATGCACAACTTTAGCATTAGCTTTTCTCTTCTTGCGACTTGTAGTTGATGATGTTGATGCTGTTGATGGCGTGACATTAGACTCTTCGTTGTCTGAAAAAGAAGGTGAAGACATTCTTTTTGATTTTTGTTTGTTAATAAAATTAAAATTTAACACTATCGTTATTGTTATTGTTTTATATAGACTTCATTCTGTATAGAAAGTTCATAAAACACTTATATTTATTCGGTAATGCTATTCAAATCCTTGTAATTAACCTGTTAGTGTGATAAGTAAAAAGCATTTACTTTGTTATCTTGCATGAAGGAAATGGCTTGATTAGGATATGGGTGAGGATTTATTGCAACTACGTATAAATCCTAATTAGATGAATAGCTATTTGATTATAGGTTTATTTCGTTTCTTTATTAATAACTTTTGCATCAGATAACGTGAAGCTCTCATATTTACAAATGAATTTTGCATAATCTTTATATTAATATTTCTTAAGTTGATCTCAATTAGGGGGACATCTAAAGTTTGACACTGTCTGGTTTTTCGATTTTTAATTAATATTAGGGTTAACGTTATATATGGGCTATAAGGTTAATAGATATATAGTAAAATTGCATTTCTGACACTTTTACTTAGTGCATAAAGACCGGTTTAGATAGTCATTTTTTATATTTTTGTGTTTTTGGCTTTATTGGGTTGTTCGGAATAATGTGGAACATATATCGGGTAGTTTCATAAGGTATCAGGCTTTAGACGACCTCTCAATTAGGTATAATTATTAATTTAAAAAATTTTACCAATCTTATTAATCTTGGCATAATCCAGCTATGACTGGTTCTGCAATGAATTAAAGTTATAGGTTGGTTGACCAAATTCACATTTATTAGTCAATTACTAGTTTTAAAACCAGTAATTGACTAATAAATAAGAATTTTGCTAAGCAATAATGTTTAAGAAAAGTTAATAAGGTAAACGGTCATTGAGTTCTCATATTACACAAAATCATTTTGCATGAATCTCTATATCAATATTTCTCATCCTGATCTCAATTAAGTATAATTATTAATTTAAAAAATTCTACAATGAATTGAAGTTATGGGTTTGGTCAACAAAATTCTCATTTACTAGTCAATTGTTAGTTTGAAAATTGATAATTGACTAGTAAATGTGAATTTGGTCAACCAAACGCATAATATTTAAGAAAAGTTAATGAGGTAATCAGATCATGAAGCTATCGTATTTTATGAATATATTTTGCAAGAATCTCTATTAATATTTCTTACACTGATCTTATTATTAATTTACCAATATTATTAATCTTGGCATAATCTAGCTATGACTGAGTTTACAATGAATCAATTTATGGGTTTGGTTAACCAAATTCGTATTTACTAGTCAATTACTAGTTTTAAACAGGTAATTGACTAGTAAATGTGAATTTGGTCAACAAACCCCATAATATTTTAAAAAAAGTTAGAGGTAATCGGGTTAGGTTATGTTAATTTATCCTGAATAATCCAAATTTATGCAAAAGCCAAATTTTAAATGTATGCAGTACAAATGATGAATTACTATTTTCAGAATAATACGGGCCAAAGTTGATATTTAGAAGTAAGCAATGCTAAATAAGGGTTACTATTTGGTAGAACAGCTCACTTTTATTATCTTTTGTGGGATTATTTCACATATGAGTACCATCAAGTGAAATTTGTATGTTTTATGTATTTGATAGGTTTTTTTAATGATTCTTATATTGATGGCATTATTAGAAAATAAGTTCCATAAAATTAAAATAATTAAATGCATAATGATAAGAACTTACAGAATAATTTCTGGATTTGCATTCTAATTTCAGGACATTTGAAGAACAGATACTCCAGTGATCTACATGATGACATTTGTTTACTAGCACTAACCAAATCAGCCCAAATTATACTTTAATCCTAACCCTAAATAGGCCTAACCTAATCCTAACTTAATCCTAACTTAGGCTGAATGTCATTGGGGTACCTTTTCTTCAACTTCCTCTAATTTCCATTATATTTAATCGCTACATAGCATAAAAATATTGATCGATGTATTTTAAGCAAGTTATTTAGACTTAAAGTATTTGTTGTCTTTTTATATAATGTATCTGATTTTAAGTTCATTGTTCACATAGGTTCAGTGGATTAATAGACAATTTATTTATTTAAAGTTGTTAGGACTATTGTTATTTACCTAATAAAAACTAATTAATAACCATATTTAAATTACTAATAAGCGCCCTTTATTAATTACATCAGTTACATCATTAAATTGATCTATTAAATTAAATTTATTACATAACGATAAGTGTGACTATCACTTGAATTAATTGATTACTTGATCCCTATTAAATTAGTTAATCAATTCTTATTATTGCACTTTTCAAATTACTGTGTTCAGCAAGTTCCACACATCACACCAGAAATCTGAAATAAATGCAAATACATGATTGGCTAAAAATTATTTCCAACGAATCACAGGTTTGTATTTATTTTAGATTTCTGATTTCCAGTATAATATATGAAATTTGGTGATCACTGTAATTTGAAAAGCACAATAAATTAAATATTCATACACGTGTACAAGCCACCCTACCAATTCATAACAATTTCTTATCCCAGTTCACTATTGAAGCTAAATTGGACATTATATTTTATAAGTCTCTTTCAAACAATAGTAACAATAGCTTCTAAAATAAAGCTATATATCCGAAAATAAGACTTCTTCTACCTTTAAAATAATCTATTTCTATTTTTTTACAACAATTATGTAAAATAGTCTTGATTTATGGTTTGATAACTATTTGAAAAATTATTCAATATCGATATTGCAGCAAACATTTGAATCTGCGAAAATAGCTAAACCATGTGGAAGTGATGAATCAGAGATTAATGAAATGGTATATTCTTTGATTATCGTTGACTAGTATTTCCAAAAATAATACTCCATTATTAACATTCAGATTAACTGTTTCTTGAATAAGATCCGGGAATATAATTATTTACTAATTTAATACAATATATCTTCAAATATAATAGCTTGTTCTTCACACAGTACCCACTTAAATTTGATTCTAAATCAACATTATAATTTAATATGTGCGAAAAAATTATTTATTAATCACTTGTATTGATATTAGTGGAATTAAAATAAAATCAAATTATAGTTTGATGATTATCAATTTTCGTATTATCTTTATTAAAGTTTAAAATTAAACTAATATTAGATTTTTAATAATATTCGAATGATTTGACTTCATTCATTCTTTTTAACACTAATTTTTTGTTTATATTAATACAGTAATAACCAACCATAATTATTCCATTATTCCATCATACCTATGACTGAAGTATAACTTGCTTTACTGTTATCTAGATCTGCAGATTGAAGCAATGTGTGTTCCAAAGTGTACTGTATTTATATCAATCGGTAGTACTTTCATATTAATAAAAATATAAAACAATTTGGGATAATTTGGGATAATTTAAGAATTTTAGAACATCCAAAAATGAATATTTTTATTTTAGAATACGTAATCTAAAAACCAACTTTAAATTTATTAATTAAAATTGATATAATCTAATTAAATTATAGAAATTTACTATTAAATAGCTTTTTAATTCTATATATTTCTTTTGTGTTTATTTAATGGGAATATAAATGATTGATTAATTCATTTAGAATAGATTATTCAAATTTATGCTACAATTAGCTACACACATAGTTGTGAATATAATGCTGCAATTCATAATGCTATAATGCCATAATGCCACAATCCATAATGCTATAGTGTCATAATGCCACAATCCATAATGCTATAGTGCTTTATTGACACAATCTACAATGCAGTTTACCATATCACAACCAGGATAAAATCAGCATCCAAAAAAGTTTCAAAAAAGATCATAATAATAATATTTATTAAAATATTAATTTTAACATAATTGATTTAATAAGTAATTTTTTTTCTTCGATTCTTTAAAGTAAAAAGCAATCGTTAAAACCATAAACTCCAATGAACACACTATTCTAAAAATATATATTTGATTGCTATAACCAAATTTCTATTAACGAAATAAAATTATAAAAACTAATCATGAAAATACAATTAAAACAGAAAATCTTGTAGATTTTATTTTTAATGCTCTTCTTGAAGATTA